TCTGCTCTGGTGTGTTATAAATAGAACTGATTAAAAATTATATTTCACTAACTTAATCCTTGGCAGTGGATATAGCAAATATGGTGTGGTTATACACTTTTCTTTACTTTCACTCAGAAGTTCTTACTAATAAATATTTTATAGACCTGGGATACTCGAAAAGAAATTTAAAACACCATTCTGAGACCCAAAATTAAAGGTTTTATGGAATTGTAGGACCTTAAAAATAGGAAAATGACCCAATTATCCGATAAGAATATAAGCCAAATTCCACATGTCATTAGGAAACAATGGAAGATTGAAAACAAAACTGTTTAGTATGATCAAAGCACTAATGAACTGAAACTTATAATTTTCAATATACTTTGTTTTCAGTGAGCCTGATTTTCCGAGTCAAAAAACAACAACAATAAAGAAACAAACCTGTTGCATGGCATAAAATGTATATCACGTTTTTTTAAGCAAATATGTGAATATTTGATCTCTTATTTTGAGTGATAATAAAAAAACCTATGATATTGCAAAAAAGAGAAAAATTTAATAACATTTCTTACAAATATATGGTATGATTCCATGACATAACTCATACTTTCACTACTCCAGTGTGAGTCTGAACAAGATCTGTTATTGTTTTCTTGAGAGGTAAGTTTTAGTAGGTAGAATTCACCAGCGGCAGCCGTACTTAGTTGTGGGCCCTTGTGCGGGATAAATTCTGGATCTCCTTTGGCCCCTTCCAGACACAAGTGTAGGATGACTGGCAGAACAATAATCACCAGTTCCTGAAATCACAGTCTTTCTGAAAACTATGCTGTTCTCAGTTTACCACTGTTCATTAGCAAATCTTTTAAAGTTAATTTGATTGGGGCTTGGTGGGCCTCCTAGAGTGTGTGGGCTCCTGTGCACTGCACACCCTATATTGCCACCACTAGAGATCACATAAACTACTGTTTTATAAAATACAAAATAATAGTTTCAGGTTGGGTAGATATGTAAAAAACCTCATTATTGTGTTGGTTGTCTAAATTTTGAATTGTCATTATACTGTGTCCTTGTAACTGATGTATTATTTTAAAGAAACATTATAAATTTAATTTCAGACTGATCGTCACTTTTGTATTTACTATTGTACCAGAAGAGAGAAGTATTTTACCTTTCACTAATAATTTGTTTTATGTAAGATATGTTGAGACACCTAGTTTTGGTGTGTTTATATATACATGGTGCACGAGTGTGTGTAATTAACCCAATAAAAATCAAATTAAAACATAATTCTGATACTGTGTTTTGTTGTGAGCCACCTAGGGTTAACTGTGTCAAGCAATACACTGTTTAAAACAAGTATACAAATAGTCTTAAGACAATTATGTTTCATGTTTGCATATAATTTTTGTTGCAAGCATGGTTTTGATAAAGTTTTCTACTAAAACCCATAATAAATCTACTTTTGAAACCTAAATGCAGCAGGAAACAAAAGTACAAGTTACCACACTGTTTTAAGATACCTTCTAGATGTGGTGCTTTAGTTGTTTTTGTTACCATGAAATTGAGTTTGGTAAAGTCAAAGATGCACAAAAGATAATAAATTAATAACAAATAAGTGTATTTTATATATCACACTACTGGAATATGTATGGGTTTATGTATTTGTGTAGTGTAACAACAACCTAGCTCTCCATATTATCTATATGAAGTTAAATTAGATTCCTGATAATGCATAACTGAGGGATTGCACATAATTTTAGAAACATTATAATGTAGTTCCTGTAATACATGTGCATGTTACAGAAGACAAACCGCATGTGATGAAGGAAGCCTCACAACAATGTACAACCAATAAAACCTTATGCCATGATTCTTTGTATCAACTAAGTAACCTATGATACTGGCAGTGGAATTTATTTTGTAAAGATCATGAAATAAACACTTTCTAAGTTCTCAGTGAAACAGTTTACACTAACTTATACCTACATAAATTCAGTCTCTTATGTATATTTATGGAAAAGAATACAGTAAAATTATACAATTTACAGTAAGTTTGTTTTGAATTTAGCGCAAAGCTACACGAGGGCTATCTGCGCTAGCCATCCCTAATTTAGCAATGCAAGACTAGAGGGACGGCAGCTAGTCATCACCACCCACCACCAACTCTTGGGCTACTCTTTTACCAACGAATAGTGGGATTGACCATCATATTATAACCCCCCACAGCTGAAAGGGCGAGCATGTTTGGTGGGACAGGGATGTGAACCTGCAGATTGCGAGTCGAGTGTCCTAACCACTTGGCCATGCCGGGCCATACAGTAAGTTTAAAATCAGCAATGGCTTCAATAAAATTGTGATAATTCTCTCACAAATTTAGGTTTCTAAATAATGCTTTCTGAACTATATCTTTTAAACACTTTTTTGCCATAAACATTATAGACACTAGCTACATGTACAGATAAGACACTGCAGAATTAAAAAGAAAAGATTTGTTGAAAATGTACTAAAATACTATTACTAAGGGGATTTGTAATGTCTCTCCATATCTGAGGACCAATTGAACTGAGTGGATGATGAATCATAGTAATACTGGTGATAGGTTCAAATATCTTTTGATCTCAGAACTGACTGGATGATGAATCAAGCTACCCGTGTAAATAAATACCTGGCTTAGTGGTTGGCCCTGTGTAATTTGTTTATGTATTTCATGTCCTGTGACTGTCAGATGGTATACTGTGTGTCGTCAATTTGAACACAGTCTGAAACTGTTGAAAAATGTATACATGTTGTTAGATTGATGTTGTTGGAGTGTATTGTGTATGTGTGGAGTTCAAGAACAAACCCTGTTTTTAGTAGTAAAACAGCATGCTAATCAAGGTGGAAAGTTAACTACTTGAGATCTAATAAGCCCTACTAGCTCACCTACATGAGCCAAGAATACATTTATTTACATTCCAATCCATTAGTGTTCATAATGTATGTATACACTGTATATGCTTTCATGATGATAGAACAAATACTGACACACAGAAAATATTGTCAGCCTTTAATATTGTGAGTTTAATGACACTGGGTATAATCTTGCTTTAAAAAGAAATTTTCAAAATTATTACATATTTACAAGATAAATTTGTATTTAAAAGCTTTTAATATTTTATTATATTAATTAAATGATGTAAATAGGATCAAACACTATTTTAATTATGTTAATAGCAGTGTTTTGTGGCTACACAGATGTAATCAAGATATAAAAGTTTCTCATTTTCTTTTTTGAACTATTGAAAGGAAAGACATCTTTTAATTTGAACATTTTATTTCATAAATTCCTTAGCAGTACAAACCCCAAAACAGAAGGAATTTTGAAATAAAAAAAAACCTCTATGAAATGTAATTTTATATACAACTTCACAACTAAACAGTAAAGTTTTTACATCACTATCAGAAATCAAAAAGACAAAATCTTAACAACTTTTTATTCTCTTTTTTTTCAAGGAGTAAGAAATTGAATAGGTCAATAAGCTTAAAATGAGTATAAAGATAGTACAATACTGTATCTTTTATGCCAGTTCATAACGTTTTTAATATATTCTAGTGTTTGAAAATATAATTTCACGATTTCCTGGACCACAAAATGCATGTAACCAGTCTCATTTTCTGAATCCTACACTAATACATTACTAGTTAATACAGCAAACATAAATGTATGTATGTATGAATAAACCAACTCACTCACATATGATAGACCATTTAAAAATAAATGTGGCTTACTAATCAATAAAAATACTTTGAAGCTTAATAATTGTTAATTTTATAAGAAGGTTATGGCTAAGCCTAAGCTTTCTAGTCACTCATAGTAAGTAAATATTGTATATCAATATCCTACACACTTATGACCAAACATTTTAAACACATGATTACAATGATAAATCTATAACATTAGTTAAAAAAACAAGTTATTATATACTATACACCTGACAAAATAATATAATATCAAAATTACATAATTGTTACATATATCACTAAGTTACTATTAACTGATTTTAACACACTATCATATAATCTCTTACACTGTGTAATAAAACTATGTAAAAAACATTTAACTAAGCATCACTCAGTCTATCCACTTCTTTGGTAAAAATATAACTATTTTGCAGTTTGAAAGTTCAGATACATGAAATGTCAAATGTATAGCAGCCATGGGTAAATAAAAGATTAAATGCAAATACATTTTTCATTTTATTCTCTTAACTGTTTTTGCTGTCAACTAAAAACAAAAATTAATTTTAAAAATGTTCCAAAACTCCTTTAGATTATTCAATTAAAACATGTCTTTTAAACAACTGAAGTCTAATATTGTCCTTATCACAAATAAAAATTACATCTGTTCAAATTTTCTGGCTCAGCAACAGACAGATCAAATCACAAAAAAATTAATTTTTCAAATACTGAACCAGGCATTAAAAGATAAAATAAATTATTTGTAATAATTTAAAACTTGTGAGGTTGAAAAGATTACTAGCAGCTATAAGAGGATATATTATGATTAGAATGAAAGAATAAGTACGTAAAAATCATCACTAATTAAAGTACAGTAATCCACATTTGATGAATTACTCGTTATATGTAAAAATATATATAACATATTTTTTATTAAAACTAATGTAGATAATATAACAATGACCAAATTTTATACTTTAATGCAACATCAAATTTAGTAATTTTTTTTTTCAATTTTTGAAGAATGAACAAAAAGGTTCATCAATTTCTGTTAAATTAACAAGTTACTGCAAATTTTTTTAGCTTCTTTCATTCTCAGTATAAAATTTCCAGATTCAGAATACAGAGAAAAACACCAGTTAGTTAAACATCATGGACAGAATGTAGCGTGAGCAAGTTCCAGGCAGATGAGATTGGTGAAATTCTGATGAAGACAACAGTTTCACTGGATGACACTTACAGAAAATAGCACTGTTTGCTGAAACAATTCATAAATTATTAATGCTCTTTAATCCTGTTCATTTCTCTCCATCATCCAAGAAATGTTACTCTTCTCAACACAGTATTGATTCTACTCTTTCCATGGAACAGCTGGAAATTCCACGACCTTCAACCTTGAGTGAGCTCACTGAACAATAAAGATAGTGGACTGATCATTCAGAAATTCATTAAACTGTTTCTAACAGAAACACCTACAACTCCACACTTTCTGAAAACAGACCATGCAGCAGCCATCAACATATTGCTTCTGATGTGTCTAGGAACTATACTTATTAGTTTGTCAATATCATCTAAACACCAAACAGCTGATTAGCATGCAGGCTTTTAAACTAATTGCTAAATTACACTTGTTTGCAAAAGTGTGCTGTCCTAGTTATTTTGGCAAAATAGTGTAGATACATACATACAGAAACAAGTGTTTATTTGTAAAAGCAAGACTGTCTTAGAAAGATATTTATTTCCATCTGTTACTGCACATAAGCTTTTCCTAAGTTAAAAGAAATGTGCAAGCTGTGGAGAAGTAACTTGTAGAAGAGAAGCTACTTAGTGAGACTATAGTAATAGTTATATGTATGAGGTTTTATACAGCACTAAAGTTTTACTACATTAACATTTGCCTGTTAAAGATGTGTGTTAGAGTGTTAAAATGAAATAATTAATTAAAATATTTTATATACTTAAACATGTATTTTCTTTATAAGACAAAAGTTATAATTTTCCTATACTGAAAATGTATTTCCAATAGGTACTCACCTCTCTCTCTCACAGATAGCTTTTCTCATTCAGTGCTGACCTCTATATGAAAAATATTTTAGCATGCCACAAGCCTTGAGCTCCCATATACCCCATGATCAACATGGTTTTACTGTGTCTGGCATGTAAATCATCATGCGACAACCACCAATAGGAGTGCAACTTACCTCCTGATGCATATGACTCCCTTAGTTGATACTACCAAACTATCACTTTAGGTTTTGGCTGAAAATGGAAGCACTGGTTCTCAGTGGTGAGGAAAAGTGGGAAGTGAGAGTGGAGGTAAGTACCTATTGGAAATACATTTTCAATTTATAAAAACTATAACTTCTGATACAGCACATTACCTCTGTTCACAGATATAGTTTGAAAACCACATTGAATAGGTGGAGGAACCAGTGTGAGGGAAAGAAAGAAGCATCCTTTAAAAACATCTGAAGAACACCCAAAAAAGGAGATCCTTGCAGAAGAGAATAATATGTGGGAGAACGCACTACTTTTATACCAGGTATATTCTATGCCCAGGGTGAAAAAAGGTGTTCCAAACATGAGAGAAGCACATCCAAAAGGGAGAGAATAGTGGTTGGATAGAGATCTGAACCACCGAATATCAGAATCACAATAACTTTGATGAAAGTAATGTGTGTGAGAGGAAAAAGGATGTGTCCCAAGGTGTAGAGTGGCTAGGGTGCAATGGACAACTGAATCCAAAACCCAGCCACTGGAAACTGTCATTCATGAGGGAGGAGGAAAAAGGATCATACCATCGGCAAGTCAACTACAACCCAAAATTCAGCTACTGGGAACCGACATCCATGTCGGGGTGGAAAGAGGATCATACCATCTTCATCTCAAGTTCAGTAGACCAGAAGGAGGTATCATACCCACCAATTTGTGGACAGGGAACATAATAGCAAAGGGACAAAATGTTGTACCAATCCAGGAATTTGACATCCGGACGATCATAATAATAAAGATGTCCCTGTATTGTGAAATATCCTACTCAAAACCAATCAGACAGGAACCACCCCAGTGCAGTAACATCCTTGGTATGTGAAAATCTTTGAGGGATATTACAAGAGGAAGAATTGTAGTAATCTGCATGTTCATCCAGCATGACCCACAACATGGTAGCAGTGAACATGAGTCCAATTCCGTGAGAGGACAGTCCCCTGTAATACAAGTGTGAGGACTTATGTTGATTGGTCCAACTCTGAATCCAAATCCCAGCCATTGAGAACCAATATCCATGTGGGGTAGGATGAGAGATACCAATCAAAGGCACGAACTGCAATTTTGATGGATCACTCCAAAGCTCCAACATCCCCTCAGATAAACCTGTTCAAAGATGGAGCGTCAGATTGGAAGACATATTGTCATATACACCAACAGAACACCACCATCCTACCCTCAACTTAATGAATTTAGTATTGTTTGCATGATTTATATCGATAACATTCAGGAGGATGCCTCCATGGTCCACCATCCCAGCAACTCGGAACTGGAAAGTGGTATGAACTCTCATCCTCCACTGGATGATAAAAGGGGAGAGAAAATGTATTGGAGAGTCCAGAGGAGCATCAACACTGGATACAGTGCAATAGGTGACTACAAAAACCCTATTTTGAAAAGCAGACCATTCCTGATTTATTCAGTCTAAGGAATGGCAGAGATGGGCAGCCATCCCCTACCACTTTACCCATGAAGTCCATGTGTTAGCATGGTGCAAAATGGGCATATTAATGAAGCAAATATATCGCAAGGAAAATCCTACAAGTGATCTTGTGGAACCCCCATCTCAGTGTGCATTTAGT